AGTTATTCTATTTACAAGTCCTTGCGTCGGAGGTAATTCTGTTTCTGATTGTCTAGGGAATTCTTCATTGAGCAGCTCCTGGTAATACTCAAACCATCTTTTACATATATCCTTATCGTTTGTAAGTAGTGTGTCTTCTGTATTTTTAATGTATTTTGTACTTTTAAAGTCTTTACAATCATTATATCTATATTTAGCTATTTTGTATATGTCATTATCGGTGGCTAGCTCTAAGCGATGATAAAAATTTAGATCAGCTTTTTCCTTTTCAATAGCTACTGTTCTTCTTGCAGTCTTCTTTGCCTCTTTGTATATTTCTTTAGCTTCATCGGAGCATGTTTCTTGCCAAATTTTAAACAAACGTTTCTTTTCAGCCACTGTGTTTGGTGTAGTCGTTCCACCATTTTGTATATTTTGCATTGTGCAATGGTCCTTTGCTTATCCCTAGCTCACGTTTTGATGTAGTGATACATAGTTTCTCAAAGTTTATCCATATTTCTGTAGGAGTCTGATCTCCAAGGGGGTTTTTGCTCATGTAATCCACAACATGCTTTCCTAGGGTACTCCCTTTATCTGTTTTTAGTTCATGCCATTTAATTCTCTCCACTTTAAGTTTTTTTAATCTTAATGGCTGTTTTAAGATTCAGGGCTGTTAGTAGTAGCCTATGTTTGGAGGTGAGGGGTTCCCCAGGAATAACCTTGCAGTCCTTAATTTGTTTCAAATATCGTTTATCTATTAGGATATAGTCTATCTGCGTCTTCGATTTTCCACTCTTATAGGTTATTAAATGGTCATCCTTCTTTTGAAAGAACGTATTTACTACTGCAAGATTTTGAGAAGCTGCGAATTCCAAAATTGTTTCACCTTCACTGTTTTGCTTTCCATATCCGAAACCACCATGATAACCCTCAAAACCGCCCTTGTCTATCCCCACATGACCGTTCAGGTCTCCACATACAATTCTTTGTTCACTTCGGGGTACTGTTGTTAGATGATTCTGCAGGTCTTCCCAGAATTCTTGTTTTTCTGTATCAGAGCAATTTACTTGTGGTGGGTGCGTAGCCTGAGAAGACATTTAGGCACGGTTGCTTTTCGAGGGCCAGCTTCACAGACATGATGCGTCGTTGATTGTTTATTTCGATAAGTTTTTCGCTTAGATGTTGGTCCAGGATAATTCCAATACCATTTTTTAGAATTGTCTGTGCCATTGTATATGAGTTTTATATGAAGTTCCCGATCTGACATAATTTGGCGCCTTTCCATTTTGTTTCTTGCACACAGCAAATGCTTATGCGTCGTCTAAATAGAATATCGCTGAGTTCAGCACTTCTTCTAGTCATTGTGCCAATATTCCACGTTCCTATGCGTAGTTGGGACATTGGTACAGCGTTTTGTTGTTTTGATCTTCCGTCGCTTCCGGGGGACACCCTAGTATTCGTCGCATTCGCATCGCCGTCGCTTGAGGGGGACGCTCTAGCCTTAGAACTCTTTCCTTTCTTGCTGTGCCTCACGATTAGTATAAAAATTGGCTATTAGATTTTACGGTCGGTTGCCACCTGACACCAAGGTCTTAATCTTCCAGGAAGACTTGAGACTTTTAGGCTTGCTAAATAATTTTTAAATACCATGGAACATTACCAAAATATATTGCTTAAAATTTTAAAACTATCTATGTTAAGAAAACGGCGAACTTATGGGGCATTTCCCTTAAAGTATTTGCATCAATAACAAATGCAATTGCACCTTTTATAACCACTATTTTAATACAAACGTCGAACCTAGTGTTTCCTGATTAATTGAAACGTACATACAACGTTTCAATTAATCAGGAAACAGTCATACGAGGGCGGCACTGAAATTTTCGGGAATCAAGGAAGTGACACAACATTACTAATCATTGAAGCAACCATTCCATTCGGAAGTTGGGGTCTCCAAAATGGCCATTTTGTAGGCGTCCACAGCTTCTTCAGGTGATAAAATCTCTGTCCACGCAATTTATTCTTTATTTTAGGGAAAGTATACAAATCATTAGAGCTTAGGTTGAGGCTGTACGGCGGATGGTCTAATAATTCTATGTTTTCTTGCTCTAAAAACTGTTTTGTTCTGTGTGCCGTGTGAGAACTCGCATTGTCGTGATGGAGGATGATGCCGCGGTGGCAGTTCTCTTTACGGAGTTCAGAAACGACTTGTGGCAAACAAATGCTAGCATACGATTCTGCATTAACCTTTCATTGTCCCTCAAGAGGAATAGTCGTAACATGGCCGGATTTCGAGACAAACGTGGCCACCATTTTTTTGCAACACTCCGTGAACGAACAATTTTTGTTGGTTTTAACTCATTTTCGAACACCCAAACTCGTGACTGGTTTTTTGTTTCGGGTTCGTACACGTATATTCAGGATTCGTCATCTGATACGATGTTGTATACAGCATTTGATCATCCTGCGTGGAATCTTTCGAGAGTTCTGACGCACCAAGTAACGCGAGCCGCTTTTTGCTCTTTACAGAGCGAATGCGGTATCCATCGGGAAAACAACTTTTTTTACACCTAATTGTTCATGCAAGATTATTTGTATTTGACTCATGCCAATGTCTAAAGTTGCCTGAATTACGCGGTGTGTCACATGTCGATCTTCCTCAATCGGCTTACGCACAGCATGAACGTTTTCTTGGGTGACTGCAGTTTTTGGACAACCTTGACGGGGATCATCACTGAGCTTGACACGTCCACGTTGAAATTCAGCAAACCAGCGATAAATTGTGGTTTTGGATGGGGCTTCATCACGAAATGCAGAAATCATCCGGTCAACACACTGTTTTTGTGTTAAACCACTTCGAAAGCCATAATAAATCATCGCTCTTGAACTTTCTCGAGTCAATTCCATTTTCTCAACGACTAAACAAGTTTGACAAAACCTTGTGACAAGACCGAGAATCTTTTTTTAAATAAATAAAAGGTATTCGATTTTTTAAAACCAAGGAGTTTTCAATTAAAAAGATTTTAATATAACAGGAACAGTGGAAATATTCCATTCCCGATACTTTTAGTGCAGCCTAGGTACCTTTACTTAAATTTTGGTAGTACGTTAGACCAAACCAATTTTAGACCAATTTCTGTACATTCTGTAAAACTTTTGAATACCGGGAAATGCGGTTGATTTAAAGAAACTTTTGTTTTGCAGAAGAGGGCCATAAGACCTATTTACAACCTGAACCCGAGTCTCTCAGAGAGAATTTTAAAGAAATAAATATAATAACTTTGGCCTCTCAGTACATTTACGAAAATTATGTATGTGTATATGTAAATTATGTATTATGTATGTCAACAAAAACAAAAGTAGGTAGTTTTAATATAAAAAAGTGATGTCCATTCTGTAAACACCAGGAACAAACAAAGGCTAGTGATACCAGTTTCTCGACTCAACAGTCATCAATTCTTTCATGGGGGCAATATATAGGATATTACAACTATGTCCCAGAAAATATACAAGGTCTCGCTAATACCAAGTTTAAATATTTTATTAAATAAAAACTATGTAAAAAACATAATATAAATCAATACATGGTCGATAATAACCCCTGAGAAAGAGGTGATCGCTTCCAAGCTGTTTCTAAAATAAGTTTTGTATATAGTTTGTGTGGTATAAGTACTTCTTACTGTATGTTACTTTGAAAAAAATATACTCCCGCTAGGTTTCTTGCTGGTTCTTCCCATGAGAGAGGTTTATTCCGAACCAATGGTAAAAGTAAAGAAATGACTCAATAATGACTTGTTATATATTATATTGAGTAAAAATTATTCTATTCTATTCGTGTAGTGGCGGTGTAAAAGTATCCACTACTCCGTACCACAGTTTTACAATAATTATTATTTTATTGATTAATTATCTTACCTATTCGGCGTCTTAAAATACGACACAGAGAAATATAACAGGATGGAGTGCAGAATGTTACCTGATAACAAATTAAAAAATAAATAGGTCACCAACCTGCCTACTAAGCGCGGTCAACTGTGGCAAATATTCTCTCTATAAAGCATTCTGTTGGAGAAGCCTATGATCAGCAATGAAAGTATGGTGAGCTGTATGATAAACATGAACCTGAACGTGTAATTATGCATACGACTTATAAGTGGTAGAGCCACGCTTTCACAGAATACCAGCGTAAAATAGCAGCGTAATGCTGCTATGTTTCGTATGGTGAATGTAGAGAACCGGAGACGCGTTTTACTGGAAACGAGATATGTATTCCATCTTAGTTCTCAGGGGTGACAACGCATCTGCATTTTGATTCTCAATCGAGGATAAATATACATTGTAAATGTCCATGGCCCAATGCATGCACTTACCATCAGGTGGACTGTGTGCTCTCTTTGACACCCTTATTCTATAAACACAAAACGAGTTAATACAATTTGAAAACAATTATTTAACAACATTACTTTTTTAACTTTAGTACTTTAGATACACGTTATTTGTATTATTCAAAACAAATACTACGTAGGTTTGTGCAAAACTATAACAATGAGCACGTCTATTTCTGTAGCACAATAAAGGGAAGTATTACTGCAGCGCACTTTCCGCCCTCAAATGTAGGAATTACTTCCATGCTGCTAAGTAAGTAATTGACTCGCAGCCGGACACCGATTAAAGCAATTGGTGGTGACGCTATTTTGACAATATACCTAGTGTTATACTCCTTCACGAATGTATTAAGCACACACGGTTTCGCAAACAAATATCACTTATTAAATTGATATTCTAAAAACATTGTTACATATAAAAGCATTATACTACTTGTGGGAAAACAATTCAAAATTGCCTTTAACCCTTAAATGCATGATTTTATTTTTAGACCGAGAAAAAATATATTTTGGAGCCATGAATATGCTGATTCAGGGAAAAATAATAAAAAAAATCGTAAATATTTTTTTCATAGCTATTTTTATTAAAAACCATATGTTGCAGAACTACAACACCATGCACTCACTAGACAATAACTACATATGAAAATTTTTAAAACAATTTTTGGTCGTGGTAAGACAAAGAGCTACTCCACACTTCTCACACCTTGTTTGCGTGTATCCCTTGCATCCAGGCATTTTGCATCTGCTGCGAACACAATTACCAGGCCAGTGACCAACATTATCAGTTCTTATGTCCTTAGGAGGAATATGTTGAGCTGGTCCTCTCCTTTTCTTTACCTGTATTTCCATTTCAACACTGTTGCTGGTACTTGGCTTTCCTCTTTTGTTGCAGAGTTCAAATGAGTTATTTACTTTGGCTAATACCTCAGTTAGTTGACATAAGTTTAGAACTGATGAATTGGCTTCAGTTGTTTTTAAATCTTTATACACAAGCCAAGAGTTTATTACCGTCATGTCCAATAAGTGGTAAAAGATACGAAGATACCACTTTCGGCTTCTCATTGCAATTCGGTACCTCCCAATAAAGCTATCCATTAGGTCCACTCCGCCCATATGGGCATTATATTCCTTTATTATATGTGGGCATGAAATTTTAATTCTAGTCTTATTTGCCTTGTCAAATCTTTCTACTTGGCCCACAGGTTCAGCTCCAACATACGAAGATAGAAAAGTTACAACTTTATTGTCCTTCCAAGTAACTGCTGTCAAATCAATACCGTCAAATTCAGTCATCTGCTCTTCATAAGTTCCACGAGGAACAGATTTCTTTATCATTGTTTTTTTGTCCGGCAGTTTGCAGTTCACTAGCCTGTTAGATTGGACAGTACCTAGGCTATAGATTCCTTGTTTGGCAAGATAGGTAACTAAAGGTACAGAGGTGTAAAAATTATCAAAATAAATTATATGATTTATATGCCTTGGGACACCTCTAGCAAGCCGGACTACAACATTTCCCACTGGCCCAAAATCTGGTTCATCTGGAAGCCGTTCATTCTCTTGGCCAGTATATATTTCAAATTTATGAGCATAACCTTTCACGCTGCACATCACATATAATTTAAACCCCCACTTATGGGGCTTATTAGGTAAATACTGCTTCATGAAGTGTGCCACTTTCGTGGCACACATCTGTTCATCAATTGAGAGTCTTTGTTCCATAGGAACTAAAGCAAATTTTTCATTTAGATGGCTAATTATAGGCCTTATCTTATGGAGCCTATCATGTTGTGGGTGTTCCTTGGGTAAATGTTTCTCGTTATTGTTGAAATGTAGAAATCTACGAATAGTCTCAAATCTGTTGACAGTCATTATGTCCTTGATTGGTTGAAAACCTACAGTATTTGACCAGTATAGCCGTACATTGGGATATTTTATAACAGACATGTATATCAGTATCGCCATAAACTTTCTTAGCTCAGTTTCAGACAAATTTAATGGTTTAGTCACATTTTTTTGAACGGAATACAAATTAGACTCTTCCACAATCCTTTGAACTATTTCTGATGTAATAAAATGTGAAAAAATACTATAGGGAGTACCAGTAGTAGCCTCATCCTTCAGTTCTGGTGGGTATGTAGTGTCTCCATGAAAAGCTGTCTGGTCAGAATTCAAAACAAATTTTTTTACCTTCCATACGAGTCCTCTCATAGTTGCTCGGCGACTAGCTTGACTTGTTGAGGGGAATGGAACCTGTGGCACTTGATCATTTACTGTAGCTTCATTTATCAATGGCGGGTCTCCTGCCATGAATGGATCATTATCGGGGTCATCATTTTCCTCTTCTAATGGACTCTCAAGATCGTGAAGCAAATCGTCTCGATTTTCACAAAAATTCTCATGATCTTCTGTATCCGACTCCTCAAGATCATTTATTAGAGCTAAATACTCTTCTATTTGCTTTTGATTCAAGTTTGGCATCTGAAAACCAATAAAAGTGATAGTTAGAATCTAAACAGGGACATTTTCTAGTAAATGCATATTGTTGAAGATTTACAACAACAAAATAAACAGTACAGCCCCAAAGGAAAAAAAAGTAGCTGGAGAGAACCGCAAAAAAAAGGGCACCCAAAGAGTATGAAGACCACAAGGAAAATTTCCGCACACCAAAAGTTTTTTTATAACATAAATTGTACTGAAAAGAAGATGAATTATTACGTAAAATAACTAATTTTGTTTGAACTTACCTTCGAAAATCAAATAATTACACTGCAAAGCAAGTACACAATTTTCATCCGCTCCAAAATTACGATCGGCTTTGATTTGTCAATGTCAAGTTTAAATTTGACAGTCGTGAAGAAAAAAAGTGTGTTGCCACTCGATTAAATATATAACCATGATAGTGATAATCCTGCAACAGCATGCAATGAACTCATACTAATAATTTTATGGTCGTTTGAATGGTATGTTGCAGTTTTACAACTTTATGCATTTAATTTTACAACTTTATGCCGTGTAGTGGCGGTTGAGAATATCCACTACCCCATATCTTCCCGTGGGTGTCGTAAGAGGCGACAGAGGGAGACAGGCAGGAGATGGTCTTCCTGATAACAACTGTGTTATAATAAAAAACTGCGGTTGCCAACCCGCTCGCCAAGCGTGGCAACTAAGGCAAATATCCCCCCATGAATAATGACGCAAAAAGACGGCCCCCAGTCCCCGGCGGCCCCGCTATTCCTGGATACGGTGGCGACCATGGTAACGGCGGGGCAGGGGGTGCTAAGAATCTCCGGTGGAGGTTCGGTTGCCACCTACGACGACTCGACCTGGCAACATATAACGCACGCACCCTGAGGACTGACGAGAAGATACTGGAGCTGGAAGAAGAGGTAGACAAGTGGCGCTGGCATATTATTGGATTATCCGAGGTCCGAAGAGAGGGGGAGGATACGGCAATCCTCGAGTCCGGCAACTTGTTCTACCACTGGGAGGGCGACCATCTGTCCCAAGGAGGTGTCGGATTTATCGTCAACAAGTCTCTCGTCAACAACGTTGTAAAGATTGGGAGTGTGTCGACGAGGGTCGCGTACCTGATACTCAGAATCACCAAACGGTATTCGCTGAAGGTCATACAGGTTTACGCACCAACCTCGGCACATCCCGATGAGGAGGTGGAGGAAATGTATGAGGATATTTCTAGAGCCATGCATTCCTCCAAAACCCACTACACGGTGTTGATGGGAGAATTCAACGCAAAACTGGGCACAAGAGAAAGCGGTGAGCTGAAGTTGGGGAAATTTGGAGTAGGGCAACGGAACCGAAGGGGCCAGCAGCTGGCCGACTTTATGGAGAAAGAGGGACTCTTTATGATGAACTCTTTCCTCCAGAAGCGGCCCCACAGGAAGTGGACCTGATCGAGCCCCGACGGTTCGACAAAAAATGAGATTGACTTCATTAATGACGACCAGACGCCAACCGTTCAGTGATGTCTCAGTGATCGCAAGGGTGAAAACTGGCAGCGATCACCGAATGGTTAGAGGCACACTGAACCTAAACGTTAAGTTGGAGAGGTCTCGTCTAATGAAGTCAACGCTCCGTCCCCCTCGTGCTCTAATCCAGAATCCCGAAACCTTTCAGCTCGAGTTACAAAACCGCTTTCAGTGCCTAGAGGATTGCAATGCAGTGGACGATATGAATGACAAGCTCGTGGAAACTGTCCATGCGGTCGGAGCTAAGTTCTGCAAGACCCGCCGCAGAAGAACACAAAAACTCTCCGATCACACTCTTAATCTCATGGCTGTTAGACGGGAGATGAGGCTGCAATCGTCAACAGATTTGACAGCATACAGGCAGCTGAACAGACAGATCTCCAAATGCATGCGGCGAGACTTACGCAACTTTAATACCGCTCGTATTAAAGAAGCGATCGAGCGGAACCAGGGCTCCAAAGTCTTTGCCAGAGATCTGTCTGCCAGAAGGAGCCAACTGTCAAGGCTGAAGACTGAGTGTGGCAACATCGTTTCCGGGACACCTGAGATTCTGAGTGAGATTGAGAGGTTCTATGGGCAGCTGTACACATCATCGTTGGAGCCACACGCAAGTGTGAGTAACGATCCAAGAGCAAGTCTTATCCGACACTATTCCGATGACATCCCGGACGTCAGTCTGAGCGAGATTAGAATGGCTCTCCACCACCTTAAAAACGGCAAGGCCCCGGGCGAGGATGGAATTACAGCGGAGCTTCTGAAAGCGGGTGGAACACCGGTACTTGAAGTCCTTCAGAAGCTGTTCAATTCCGTCCTCCATGGTGGCATTACTCCGGAGGCGTGGAGCAGAAGCGCGGTGGTCTTGTTCTTTAAGAAAGGCGACAACGCTCTCTTGAAGAACTACAGACCGATTTCCCTTCTGAGCCGCGTCTACGTGCTGTTTTCGAGAGTCATTACGAATCGTCTCGCACGCAGACTCGACGACTTCCAGCCTCCCGAACAAGCCAGTTTCCGAAAAGGCTTCAGTACCATAGACCACATACATACCCTTCGGCAAATTATACAGAAGTTCGAAGAGTACAATCTGCCACTTTGCCTGGCATATGTGGACTATGAGAAAGCCTTTGATTCCGTCGAAATTTGGGCGGTGTTACAGTCTCTTCAGCGGTGCCTAGTTGACTATCGGTATATTGAAGTGCTGAAGTGTTTGTACAGTAGGGCTACGATGGCTATCCGAGTACAGAACCAGAGTACGAAACCTATCCAACTGCAGAGAGGTGTAAGACAGGGTGATGTTATATCCCCGAAACTCTTCACCGCTGCGTTAGAAGACGTTTTCAAGCTACTGGACTGGAAAGGATACGGTATTAACATCAATGGCGAGTACATCACTCACCTTCGATTTGCCGACGATATAGTCCTTATGGCAGAATCGCTGGAGGACCTTAGCACTATGCTCAATGACCTCAATGGTGTCTCCCAACGGATAGGTCTTAAGATGAACATGGACAAAACAAAGATCATGTTTAATGTCCATGTCACACCTATGCCGGTAATTGTTGGGAGCACTATGCTCGAAGTTGTTGACGTTTACCTGGGACAAATAGTCCGACTAGGTAAGTCCAACTTCGACCGAGAGGTCAATCGACGGATTCAACTCGGCTGGGCAGCGTTCGGGAAATTACGACACATCTTCTCATCAGGTATACCTCAATCTCTGAAAACTAAAGTGTACAACCAGTGCGTGTTGCCAGTGATTACTTACGGATCTGAGACGTGGTCCTTCACCGCTGGCCGTATGAGGACGCTCAAGGTCGCTCAGCGAGCTATGGAGAGGGCTATGCTCGGAGTTTCACTGCGTGATAGACTCAGAAATGAGGATATCCGCAGTGAAACCAGAGTGACCGACATAGCCCAACGGATTAGTAAGCTGAAGTGGCAATGGGCCGGCCATATAGCTCGAAGAACCGATAAGCGATGGGGAAGAAAGGTTCTCGAGTGGCAGCCTCGTACCGGTAGGCGTAGTGTAGGGCGACCCCCCACTAGATGGAGTGACGACCTGGTAAGATATGCAGGAAGTCGATGGATGCAGGTGGCTCAGGACCGTGCTTTGTGGCATTACTTGGGGGAGGCCTATGTTCAGCAGTGAACTTGTGAAGGGCTGTAATGATGATGATGATGCATTTAAGTGTTAATACTGATGATAGCATAGTCTCGTTATTATATGTAAGATTCATAGTATATATATATATATATATATATATATATATATATATATATATATCACATACCGAAAAAGTTTATCAATTAAACTTGATATATTAATGTTATAATTGTAGCGTGATACAATTGTTTACAATTAAACTGCCAGCATTGTCGATTCTAGGAATAAATGGGATTACAGTGTTATATTTAGCAAAGAAATGTATTTGAATAAAACAGTTTTAAGTATATATTATCACCAATGAGAGTCACTAATAAGTGACGGTATGTGGAGTCATCGCAATTCAGCAGAAAACATCAAAGATACTCAGTATAATCGTCATGTTATTTAGTACTACATGAAGATTAAGGTGAAAACAAATAATGTTAAGAAAATATCATAGACATTTTACTTGGTCAAATATTATGATAGCTGTGGAGCTTAAGCACTGTTCAGCACGACTCTGGCTGATGACGCTCTCGCCTTGAGATAACGTCGCCGATAACATTCTCTAGTTATTTTTAGATCTTTTTAAAAAGGTAAAGTGATAATTATTGTGTTTTGCGGAATCGGAAATAACATACTCACTCTAATAACTATGATGTATGATGTTTGTTGCATATATCTCCTAGCTTTAAACTTTAAAAAAATTAATGAATTATAATAGTATTTATTTTGTTCACGTGTATATACAACTACTTTTCAACTATACACCATATGTGCATGTATAATAATACACCATATCCATTATGTCTCGATAATTAAAGTTACAGTTATAAATAAACACATATTTAATGATCGTTTTAAAATGTATCATTGTTTTCATTACGGTGTCTTGCTATAATTAGATTAGCTCATTTACCTCTTTGTAATTATTGAGTGCACAAAATACATAGGCTGCACTGAAAGTATCGGGAATGGAATATTTCCACTGTTCCTGTCATATTAAAATCTTTTTAACTGAAAACTCCTTGGTTTTAAAAATCGAATACCATTTATTTATTTAAAAATAGATTCTCGGTCTTGTCACAAGGTTTTGTCAAACTTGTTTAGTCCTTGAGAAAATGGAATTGACTCGAGAAAATTCAAGAGCGATGATTTATTATGACTTTCGAAGTGGTTTAACACAAAAACAGTGTGTTGACCGGATGATTTCTGCATTTGTTGATGAAGCCCCATCCAAAACCACAATTTATCGCTGGTTTGCTGAATTTCAATGTGGACGTGTCAAGCTCAGTGATGATCCCCGTCAAGGTCATCCAAAAACTGCAGTCACCCAAGAAAACGTTCAT